CTATAAGGACAACTCTCTATAACGACAACTCTCTATAAGGACAACTCTCTATAACGACAACTCTCTATAACGACAACTCTCTATAGCGACAACTCTCTATAACGACATTTTTTTCTGGTCCCTACGATGTCGTTAGAAAGAGGCTGCACTGTATTTTTGTTGTTGCAAAGGCCAATGGGCTTCATACTAAAGCTGAACTAAATTTCAGTGCGAAGTTCAAGTGTCATGCCTGTGGGGCCGTGCTACGACCTATGATATCTGAGGCACACGGCCATCATAGGCCAGATTGTCGCTGGGATTTTTTCTGTTGTCCATCTATGTGTGATCAAATTTGAGGAGTCCTGACAAAATGAGTTACTTAAAAAATTGTTTAGCCCTGTCGAAATAGATCTGTCAAATTTATAGGTGGAGTTTGGACAATCTATAAGTATAAATGATTTTTTTTTAAAAACATGTTGTTATACTTGTAAAATGACCTAAGTTGAAAATCCACAAATTTGCCTCGTGTATTGTATTGTAGCATCTATCTGCACAGTTTCAGCTCTTTTGGTTTCAAAACCAAGCAGTCTTAGGCAAAAAAACCCAACTCTATTAAAAATTCCCAAACCACCCCAATTTTGGCCATTTTTCCCCCCAAGCAAAGACAACAGTTACAGTGGAGTCCGCCTAAAGTGAGCACGCTTTATTTGAACGATCGGTTAAAGTCACCGATATTATGTTGTCCCGATTGAAACGCTATTGGTTGAGGTAAAAAAAATAGTGGATAAAATGAATCGGTTCATGGGGAAATTGGATAAAGTGAACGGCCAAGATGAGTGAAGGCGAAGAACGGACCGACCGTGTCACTGTCGCCATGATGGGAAAATACAATTCTTTGCCTCGGGCATCGGCAGACAATCCCAGCTCGGCGCTTGCGACGGCAATCTCAATCAGAAAGAAAGAGCTCTAGTCTAGGCTCACCCGCTGTGTTGTCCCCCCCTCCCCCTCACCCTAGACCCACCACTGCGCGTAGCTACTGTTTCTTTCTAGGCCTTCACCCTACCACAATGGTTCAACTGAACCTCGGATAAAGTGAACACTTTTTTCTGGTCCCAAAGAGTTTCACTTAAGCGGACTCCACTGTGTTT